CCCCCCCGGCATTTGACAGAAGAGCCCTGGAAGCAAACTCTGATGGGGAAAAGAAGAAAAGCTAGAGGGGAAAGGGGTCACTGGGTTTCCAAAGGGTAAGGGCAAGAAGCCCAGCATCCCTTGAGCTGGGGGGGGGGGTGTCAAGGAGAAAGGGAGGGAGTTGCAAAGGACCATGGTCCCAATAGGATTAGAGAGAAACCTGGGGTCTCCCAGGACACAAAATAGGACCCTAGATGTAGAGCTGGAGAGAAACTCAGGGGCCATCTATTCTACCCTTAGTTTACCATGGAGGAAACTGAGGCTCAGAATGAAGAAATAATCTGCCCAAGGTCACACAGTGTCTTGTAGTTAGTGTCTTGAGTTGGAATTTGAACCCAGATCTTCCTGTTTCCAAGTCCAGGGTTCTGTATTCACCTCCTTCTGCCCTCTCCCCATTCAGGTTAATATAAACTTTGAAGGGAAGTACTTTTTTTGGTTTTCATTCATTCATTCATTCATTCATTCATTCATTTATTTTTATTTTTCAACAATCACTTCCAGAAGCTTTTGAGTTTTCAATTTTCTCCTCCTCCTTCCCCGGTCCCCTCCCCAAGATGGTACACAATCTGATATAGGCTTTACATATACCTTCATATTAAACATATTTTCACATTAGTCATGTTATAAAGAAGTATTAGAACCAAGGAGAGGAACCATGAGAAAGAAACAAAACAAACAAACAAACAAAAAACAAAAGAAAAAAGAGAGCAAATAGTTTGCTTCGATCTGCATTCAGACTCCATAGTTCTTTCTCTGGACGTGGACAGCATTTTCCATCATGAGTCTTTGGGGATTGTCTTAGATCCTTGCTTTGCTGAGAAGAGCCAAGTCTATCAAAGTTATTCATCCCACAACATGGCAGTTACTGTGTACAGTGTTCTCCTGGTTCTGCTCACTTCACTCTGCATCAGTTCATATAAGTCTTTCTAGGTTTTCCTGAAGTTTGCTTGCTCATCATTTCTTATAGCACAATAGTATTCCATTACATTCATATGCCATAACTTGCTCAGCTGTTCCCCAATTGATGAACATCCCCTCAACTTCGAATTCTTGGCCACCACAAAAAGAGCTGCTATAAATATTTTGTATGTGTGGGTTCATTCCTCATTTTTATGATCTTTTTTTTGGAGGCAATTTGGGTTAAGCGACTTGCCCAGAGTCACACAGCTAGTAAGTGTTAAGTCTCTGAGGTCCAATTTGAACTCAGGTCCTCCTGACTCCAGGGCTGGTGCTCTATCCACTGCATCACCTAGCTGCCCCTTTATGATCTTTTTGGGATACAGACCTAGAAGTGATATTTCTGGGTCAAAAGATATGCACAGTTTTATACCCCTTTGAGCATAGTTCCAAATTGCTCTCCAGAATGATCCAAATCAGTTCATAACTCTACCAACAATGTTTTAGTGTTCCAATTTTCAAAGGGAAGCACTTTAAGGTGAAGCTACCTAAGGGCTTTGAGTCCACTTTCCCTAATCATCTTAATTTACAATCAATCAACTTCTTGGACACTGCTGGTTACTTCAAGCTCAGATCATTGACCTTTATCTGAGCCCACCAATCAAGTTGGTTTCAGACCCCATTCTTGACCCCTGGGTCTCTCGTTACTAAAAATGTGTTGGTGATGACAACAGCTGACATTTTGTGTGTTATGGAGGTCTGAGACATAGACCACTGAAATTGGAGTTCAGAAGGATGGCTAAGAGACCCTAGGTAAGTCCCTTCAACTAAGTGGTCCTCTGGTGACTCTCTGGAACAAAGGTCTTCCAACAGGGTTAATTTTCTGATGGGAAAAATGACATCTTTATTGTTACTTACTTCTAATTTTACTAATATTCCTCTGTGGTTTTTCATATATTTCAAACCATTATCCCAAATGAAACCATATTATTTGCCTTCTCAGTGGTTGGGGAAGGATGAGAAGAAAAGACAATTAGGAACTCAAAAAAAATTTTTAAATGAATATAAGACTTTCATAAAAATGAAAACAACAATGACACACCTTGAGGCAAGATGGTTGTAGAGTGAAAAGACATTCACTGGCCCCTCTCTAGGAAGCCAGCTCTTAAGATTCCCCTCATCTTACTTCCCCAGTTACTTCTCCATTGACCACACATGTGTGCTGGTTCCCTTAACCTTCTCCGAGGAGAAGTGCAGGAGAAGCTAAGTTCCTTTACTTTAGTGTATCTGTCAAGGTTACCCTTGATTCCTCTGGCCACCTGTGCCAAGAATTTGCTGTGTGGCTGAGGAGAGGCCTTAATACCTGTCTGAGCCCTGTTTCTTGAGACTGAGCCTTAGCTCATGAGATTGACTCAGTGCGCATTGACTCACTCTCCCTGAGCAAAGCCCAGTGGTGGGAGGGAGACAAAGGGAGACTGAAGGTGTGCCACTACCAAGTGGACAGTATGGCAAACTTGATAGCAGGGCTAGAGACTGAAGCAACCTTATGAGATGCAGGGCAACTAAGAGGACATTTTTTTCCCACGATTATATATCTCAAGCAACCTATAGGTCTTATTTGAAAGGTGGCCCTGTACTGATCAATCAATTAGAGTTTCCACATCCCCCTGATTGTATGAAGACACTTGGGAGTGGGGAACATCTCTCTTTCTGAATTCCAGAAATTGCACCTCTTGACTCTCTCCCATTTTGGAAAGTTCCTAATCTTTCCTCCAATTAGAAATCAGATTTCCTAATATTGAATTGTTTCCTTTTAATTAATAGGCATCATTTGATTGTTTTCATGTATAAAAATCTATGTTCCCCTGTATTTGGGGTGCAGCTCTAAGGAGAGGAAGGGACTTGGTCATGATTCACCTGGTTGCCAGGAATTGATTAAGACATCGATAAGATTGAAAGATAGAGCTTTTGTCTCCTCAGTCATTTCATCTTTCATCCATAACATCTAGGGAGGGAGTTGGTGCAAGGATGGTTATCTCCTTTTTATAGAGGAGGAAATTGAGATTTAGAGTGGAGATATGACTTGACCACAGGTCACATAGCTGGCAGTGCAGGGAGTGCAGGAGTGGACTGTGGAGATGAAGGGGCTGGAATCAGGCTCAGGATGTGAGGCATTTGGAGTTGGTGGGGGGCTTGGGAGGAGGGGAACTGTATCTCTTCTGCCCTGTTCACTGCTGGGAGCTCCCTCTGCCTGGGGATCATGGTTTTTGTTTCTCCAACCTCTCCGAGGTTTATGGAGTGCTTTTCTTGCTTTTCAGATAGATGGTGAGAGAAGGAGTAGTTAGGGATGTTGGGCTTGGGTACATGAGCCTTGCCTGCAAGTACAGAAGGGCTGTCCTACAGGAGGGGTTTTTGCCTGGTCCTGCTCAGCCCCATAGGCAGAACCAAGAGGAATTGGGAAAGGTGCAGAGGAAGCTGTCCATTCAATCCAACCATGGGAGCTGTCTAGAAGTGGAACCAGTTGATGCCATAGGGAATGAGCTCCCATTGTTGTTCAAGGGAAACCTAGTGACCATTTAGGGGGAATATATCAGAGGAAGATTTTATTTCAATAGTTGTCTGAGGTCCCTTGCAAGTGGAGATTTGATGATTCAGTTAGAGGATAGGGACGAAAACTCATCCTGTCCTGATGTGGTGTGCATAGGGAACTCCCAGGTGAACAGAGGGCCCCCTCCCCCAAATACAAGTCAGCACCTTCTTTGACATTTAGAGGCTTAGAGCAGAAGTCCTTTGACTGGTTTGTGTCATTAACCCCCTGGGTAGTCTGGTGAAGGCCTTCTGAGAAAAATGTGTTTTTATAAATAGTAGAAGGAAATAGCATATATCAGTTAGAATTCAGTGAAAATAAATATATAATTTCTTTTCTCCTCTCCAATCTCCGTGTAATCTATCCATGGACCCAGGGGAGATCTGTGAACCCTGGGTTAAGAACTCCTATCTTAGAGAGTGACCTCAAACCTGGAGAAGTTAGGTGACTTGGAAGGTGGGCTGTGAACCCAGATCTTCTTGACTTTGAGGGAGTACATCTCTATTATGATGCTTTACTTTTAATTCTATTAGGCTCCCAATTTACAAATGAGGAAATTGAGGGTCAGAGAATGTATATGACTTGCAGCTGAAGGACCCCCTCCTGAGAGGAACAAGATGCAGGAGTGAAAGAGTAGGCAAGATGAACTCAGATTCTTAAAATCTGACCCACTTGGATTCGTGATACAAATCCTTTGAGTATGCCCAATATGGCGGATGTTCTAATAAACCTTGTCTTTGGTTGAAAGAAGGCTTGGGTCGAATTCTTTTGGGCAGGACCCATGTGTTGTGATTTCAGGGTCCCAACACCCCTAAACCTCTAAACTTCAACAGTCCCACTACTAGAATGATATCCTAAGTATATTACTGTAAGAAAAAACCCAACCATTTGTGCAGAAATCTTATTCATAATGGCCAAAAATTGGAAATAACCTTATTGTTTGATGGTAGGGAATGTTATATTATGTTAGATAGTTATGCTATCTGAATATAAATCATTATCACTATAACCCAAGAAATTACAAATGAAGATCCCAATGAATATTTTTTGTTATATTATGTTATGGAAATACTTGTTTTATTCCATAAATTAATTTTTTTAATAAAAAAAAGAAAGAGTAGGCAAGATGGCAAAAGAAGATCTCTTCATTCAGGCAGCTCATATCCTCTCTTCCCCTCCCTCAACCATTCCCCTTTGGTTTAATGGAATCACAGGGGCCTATATCCTCTGACCTTGCACCTTTGTTTCATTGGTCTCAGTGTGTCCCTGGAGGGGTCTGTAGGTGTCCCAGGGGAGGGTGTGTCACCTGGGGACCCTATTCTGGGACCTAGTGGAAAAATCTCTATATTTGTGGTCAGAGGGCCCGGGTAGAAGTCCTGGTTCAGTTCCTCAGGCCCAAGTGACCCCAGTGCCTCAGTTTCTACATTTGTTAAGAAACCAGTTGCTTTCTTAAGTATCCCCATGCTTTGCCATCCTCAGATTAGGATTTCTCCCTTCGTGTGGACTCTTTGGAGGCCAAGAGGCTGGCTCTGACCCAGAGCAGAGCTTGGCCTTCCTTCCAGGGTAAGCCCCCAGGCCCTTGCTGCCAATAGCAGATTCCTGTTCATCCTGAAACTAGTTTTCCATTGGTTCCCCCAATCTCTCTAGCACTCGCCCCAACCTCATCCCATAAAAGACAGTATTTGGCGTTTGGATGTGGGGAAAAGTCTAGAAAAGCATGAAGCTTGATGTGGAGGGGGTGTGGCAGCAGGAATGTCACCACCTTGATTGGCTGACCTTCCAAGAAAGGCTTCAAAAATTCCCCCGGCCCGGCCCCTGACATGCGGCCCCTCCCCTTTTCTACTTGGGGAAAGGTTCAAGGGGGTGGGGCTGGGGTGGGGTGCTGTACTCGACTCCACAGAAGCCCAGAGCCCTACCCTTTATTTGAAGGGTCCCACACGTCCCTGATTCACCATCTCTACGCTGGAGTTGGACGCTATCCTTCAGGGACCCAGCGCAGCCAAGAGAATCGCAGGAGCATTTCTCACCCTCAATCATGGCCAAAGTGAGTGTGCCAGGGGCTCCTTGTCCTGGGTATAGGCTGAGAGTCTCAAAGTGAAGGATCCTCTGGACTTGAGGAGTGGAAAGAATCGGGGACACTCTAGAAGAGTGTGTTGGGGAGGGAGGGAAGTTCTCACTTCACCACTCCCCTCTCCCCCATGGGCCGGGGCTCCTTTCTCTTCTCTTTCTCTAACCCCTCACCCAGACCTCTGCCAGCCCTGGTAAGGGTGAGCCCTTCCGTGCCCCATCCCCCTTGTAAATTGTCTTTGACAAGCTGGTAAGTTCAGAGAAATCCTGGGGAGAGGCGAGCAAGGAGGAATTGGGACTTGGCATGGATTAAGGTTAGGGTGTCCCCTGCCTCTGAAGGGAAATGTCTCCATGGGGGTGGGGGTAGAAGGTTGGGCAATCCCCTACCTTGAACGGACATTGAAGGGAAAGGGGCCAGGTGGAGGGAAGGGGCAATGGAGGCAGAGATGAATCTTCTGCCAGACAATCAGACTTTCTGGAATAAATGACTGTCTTACAGAATTACCTACAACCGAGCCTCATGGTACAGAAAGAGTCCAGGCTGAGGATGCTCTGTTGGAAAAGGAGGAGGCTAGAGATGGAAGAAAGGGTGGGGCAGGGGGGCAAGTGATTCCTTAGGTCCTTCCTAATTCTAGCCACCCCCTTTCCCCACCTTTAAAATAATATACAATTGATCTCACAAATACACTACTTCCCTCTTCTTTAGGAAACCAGCTCATAGGATTTCACTCCCTCTACCCCCCAAGGACTTCTCCATTGATTTAGAACAGGAAGGGACCACACACGTCTGCTGCCCTGGTTCCCTTACCCTTTTACCCCTGGGCAGGAGAAGCTAAATTCCTTTACCTAAGTGTTTCAGTCAAGGTCACCCTTGATCCTGAATTCTTTCTGAACCTTCCCCTCCCTTGCCAACTCCCCTTCTCCTGGGCATAGCTGGCTCCTGACCCAGACTGTGGCCAGGACTTGGCTCTGGGGAAGGAGGAAACTCTTCCTGAAAACTTTCCTGGGGAGCCTTTCTTTATTTGTCTGCTGAATGAGATGAAGGCAGCTCTGGGAGAATGAAGCAAAGGGCAGGACAGTGACTGAAGGTATTGGGGAGGCAAGGTAAGGTGGACCCAAGCTGTCAGAGAGTTTCCAATTGAGCTGTAGTCTATCTCCTACCCTTGAAGTAGCACCATGAATCCATGCCCATGAGCCGAGATACATGTGATGGCAGTCAAAGACAGTGATGAGGTAGCCAGTGGGACAGTCCTGGGACCCAGCAAAAACTTGGATTCCAGTTCTGATTCTATACTCACTTGTGTGACCTGGGACAGGTCCCATCTTCCTTCTTGCAGCCTCAGTTTCCTGATCTGCAAAATGAGGAATGGACTTGATCAATCACCTAGTCTAGTTCCTCATTTAACAAATGGGGAAACTGAGGCCCAGAGACATGAAGGGGCTTCCCCAAGGTCACAGAGCTGGAACTGACTCCCACTTCAGCACTAACTAGCCTGGAAGAAAGTCTGCTTTCCTAGAACTTTCCTGGAGGGTAGCCCCTGTTCAACTAGAAGCTAGAACTAGAAGGGGACTTGGGTCCCCTCAAGTGCCACCCAGCCCTAACCTTGCTGTTCTTGGTGTCTTTAGCTATTGCTTGCCTATGATGTGGACCTGAAACCTGGATCGTTTATAAGAATAGTGGGAGACATATTAACTGATGCCACAAAGTAAGTGGGACGTGGGATGGATGAGACACAATTTAACCATGGGTGAGAGTTCAATCCTTTACACATCTGCTTGCACTTGACCCTTGATTAGAAGCACCCAGTTGGTTTTGTCTGAGCCCCAGATGGCAGGGCCATGACTCAACATCAGGGAAAACTTCCTGACAGGAGCTACCCAGTACCTGGAATGGACAGTTTGGATAGGTGGTGAGCTCCCTGTCTCTGGAGGTAGCAAAATGTGTACAATGGTCACTTGTTGAACAGGGAGGGGGTAATGCAGAAGAAAAGGCATGGTGCTTCAGGTTATCATTGGGTGAGAGTGCCTTTGGGGGTGTTCTAGCCCAGGGATTCTCTGAGTGGTGGGTTTCCAAGACTCTGGGCCCCATGGCAATGATGCAGATGTGCTCTCAATTCCCAGCTTTGCAATAGATATGGGCAAGGATGGCAACAACTTTGCACTCCACTTCAACCCATGCTTCAACCTTGATAATGATCAGAACCTCATTGTCTTTAACACCACGATTGATGGCCAACTTGGAGAAGAGCAAAGGGAGAACTACTTCCCCTTTAAGAAAGGGACCACAGTGGAGGTAAGACCCCAGATTCAGAGCATGGCATGTCAGAGTTGGGTAGGACTCAGCAGATGGTCTCATCCCCCCCCCCTTGAATTTGACAGAAGAGCCCTGGAAGCAAACTCTGATGGGGAAAAGATGAAAAGCTGGAGGGGAAAGGGGTCAGTGGGTTTCCAAATGCAGGGGCAAGAAGTCCAGCATCCCTTGAGCTGAAGTGTGGGGAGAAAGGGAGGGAGTTGGGCTGGGCTGTGGTCCCAACAGGATAACAGAAGATTCTGAAGCATCTTATGACACATAATAGGACCTTAGCTTTAGAGCTGGAGAGAACCATCTGGACTGACTCCCTCCTTTTACAAAGCAGGACACTGAGGCTCAGAATGGAGAAGTGGTTTGCCTAAGATCACACAGGGTCTTGTTTAAGTGTGTTGAGGTAGAATTTGAACTCAGGCCTTCCTGTCTCCAAGCCTAGGGTTCTCTGTTCGGTTTCTTCTGCCCTCTCCCCATTCAGGTTTGCATAAAATTTGAATGGAATTTCTTTGTGGTGAGGCTGCCTGATGGTCATTACTTGAATTTTCCCAATCGCACCGAAACAACAAAAATTGACTACGTGCAAGTTATTGGTGACTTTGTAATCAGAACCTTTGCCTTTGAGTGAGCCCTGCAATCAAGCCAGCTTCAGACCATTCTGGACCCTTGGGTCTCTCTTGTGACTAATAAACGTGCTGCTTATGAGAACAGCTGACCTTGTCTGTGTTATTCTGATCTGGGCCAGAGAGGGCTGGGTTTGGAGTTGGGAAGGGTGGCTGGGTGATCCCGGACAAGTCCCTCCACCTCAGTGGTCCTTTGGTGACTCTCTAGGACAGGGGTTCTCCACCTGGGGACGATGAGTAATTTTCAGATGGGAAAAAATGCTACTTTTGTCATTGACTTCTGGTGATCCTAGTATGACTCTTTGTGTTTTACATATTTAAAAACATTATTCTAATTCATCTCACATTGCTTGCCCTTTCAATGGGTAGAGGAAGAGTGAGAGGAAGGAAAAGAGTTTGGAACTCAAAATTTTAAAAAGTGAATGTTAAGAATAGAATAATGTACCTTCACAAAATGGAAAAAAAACCCCAAAAATCAGCACCACAGTCACCACATTATCATGAGAAGGGCTTTCCCAGACTGTCAGGAGCCCAGGTCATCACACAAATCAGGTGACAAGCGCTTAGAAGGCAACACAACCCCAGATTAGAGATGGGGGAGGGATTTCCCACAGTAGTAACTGCAGACGAGCATGTGTATGTTAGTGAAGGGAGGGGGCCCAGAGCAGAGCCTGAGCAAGTCCTGTGTTGGAAAGATGCTGAATACAAACCAGGGAAGCACTGTGTCCCTTTGAGGACCAGCCTAAGGAAGCTCAGAGAGATCTGGAGGCGAGATGGAAGGAGAGTAGAAAGACATTCACTAGCTCTGGAGTCAGAGGTATTGGCTTTGAATTTGACCTCTGATCCTCACTGCCTAGATGACCTTAGAGAAGTCCCTGGGCCAGTTTCATCAGGGATAACATGAAGAGCTTGGCCTCCAAAGTCCTTCCAGATCTCTACATCTGTGCTTCTATGGGCCCAAGTCATTCCCCCTGCCTCAGTTTCCTCCTCTGTAACATGAGGAAGTTGGATCAGATGGCCTCTGGGGTCTCTTCTGTGAGCTTTTGATCTTTCCTGTCCTTCTCTGAAGTATAATCAATTCCAGTATTTCTTAGGGACTGGAGGTGCCCCCCTACTAAGTGACCAGCACAGCAGACTTGATGGCAGAGTTGGAGACTGAGGCAACCTGACCAGAGGCAGAGCAGCCAAGAGGATGGACTGTCCTCTTATTCTGATCTCTTCTCCCCTTGTCTCTTCTACATGGTGCTCAGGAAAGGACCCCTTCTCCAGTGCCCATATCCTGATCAAGTTTAGATGCCTCCTTGTCCCCAACCCCACTACACCACACACACTCTCTCTCTCTCTCTCTCTCTCTCTCTCTCTCTCACACACACACACACACACACACACACACACACACTGATTCTCCAACTTCTGGGATAAGTAGGTCAAGACCTGCCTCCAGCTCCCCAAGGGACCTAGTTGTCTCTCCTCCCTTTAGGTTGGGCTAGGTGTCCTCTCCCCCCATTACCTCCTGCTTTCCTCTACTGGGTGCCATTTCCCTAATGACAGCATCCCCTCCCCTCCCCCTTCAGATCAGCCCCCACTTCCCCCTTCTCTCAGCTCTGAAGGTCAATGCAGCCTTAACTTCTCTTCTTTCTCCCCACTCTCTCTCTTCTAGACCCAGGAGCTATGACTCTAGGAACAAGGGTGCCTCAGTTTACTTCTCTGTAAAAGTGAGGATGTTGTATTAAATTACTCCTTAAGCACCTATCACCTCTGAATCTCTGATCCTAAGGGGATCTTTCTTAGAACACTCTGTGATATTCATTTCCAGCCCCCTTGTTCTGCCTGGTTCAGGGGCTTCCCCTCTCCCATACACACACACACACACACATCCTCCAGCAGGTTGAGCTTAGGGTCCTGCATCTAACTGAGCCAATCAGCCCTGTTCAAATTTCTGGAGCATCAAGGGTGGGAGACATTGTTATGTCTCCTGAGGCACCAGTCAGAAGGCTGGAATCCATTAAACTTCCAGATGTTAGTGGGTCAATGGGAGGGGTTGCCCTGAGTGCTGGAGGGGCCATGTGGCTCCTGCCCAGATTTTAAGTGGAAGGAGAACCCTGCTCCCCAAGGGCTGTGATGGACATGGTGGGACCCTCTATGTTTTTCCCTGGGACTGTTGATGTGCTTGTCCCCCTGCCCAAGCACTGGTTTATTTACTACTTTGTTTTTAAGGTGTTAGGATGCTGTAGGAGCTGTCACATGACCTCTCTTAAATGTACTCAAATCCCCTCTTCCCCAGCCTGGGAACTTGGAAATGAATAAATAAATCAGTTTAAATTCCAGTGTATCTGTCCATGGGGTGAAGCATGCTTGGGGATGGAGACTTTCTTGAGAGCTGTCCTGTCCATACTCTGCTGCCCAGTGTCTAGCCATCCCCAGATCCATCCTCCCCAAATGCTGGAAAATCCTGGAGTGGAAGAGATATGAGAAAATGAAGAGGGAGCTAACTAGCACCCCGGAAGAAGGTGGGGCTGTGTGCAGCACACAAGATCTCAGGTATGAACAAACTGAGTCCTGAAGACAGAGAAAGCCTTAAAGGGGCTCCAGTCCCATGTAAGTTAGGCAGACCCAGGACAGGTCACTCAATGCCTTCTTCAGAGAGAACATATGGTCATTTATTGGAGGGAAAGGGTGAATAGCACAAATCAGAGAACCTTGACTGGGGAGGGGCATCAACCAGAGAGTGGGTGACCTCTGAGACTCCCTGTGTCTTCCCTGTCTCACCCTGTGAGAAAGGAGAAGGTAGTAGAGACTTGGGTTAGGATCCTGGCACTGCCTTATCAGCTGTGTGACCAGGGGTGTCACCTGCCCATACTGAACCTGTTTCCTTTTTTAATTTAATTCATTTATTTTGAATTATCAACAATCACTTCCATAAGCTTCTGAGGAGCTTCCTTTTCTGTACAATGGGGATCATGACACAGGAAGGGGAACAGAAGTCTCAGATTCAAAGCTCTGGACTCCCAAAGGTACTTCGTCTCCTAATTGGCTGTGGTCCTTCTTTCTTGAAGAGGACCAAAATGACATCACTTTATTGAGGTCAAGGTACAGTGTGTCCACCTCTGGCTGAACAGCCCAACACAACCTGGGAAGTCTCTAACACACGTCAGGCACAAATAGTCCATATGAACAACTCCTATTTCCAGACAGCATTACAGTTTTCAAAGTATGTCCCTCCAAACAACACTCTCTTTTCCCATTTTAAAAGTATTTGTTTGACAATTTTAAAATACAGGATTCATTTTACCAATCAGACATTCTTGAATTTTTTTTTTAACATTCTTATATCAGGGACAGGGTGTAGGTAAAGAAAGAAACAGCAAGTGGCATATAAAAACTGAAATTCTCTGAAGTTTAAGGATCAGAGAACCAAATTCAAGACACTGTACTAAATTGTATGAAATTTTGTTACTGGCAGATTTTAGAAGAATTATGTAGGAACCTCCTATAAGTGATTTGGAACCAGAGAAACAGAGTTCCTTCAAAACTGTCTTGAGAATCAGATCTCTTCCAGAATGTCCAAGAGGAGATTTTTGCTGGCACCAGAGGGCTACTGGAGGCATTTGGGATTCAAAATTTGCTGATTAAATGGACAATGGGAGAGGGTTACTATGGTGCAAGGAGACTTGACCTTAGTTAATATTGATGATCATTATTGCATTGCTTGGACCTTGTTTCATGGAGTTTATATTTATGTTGAAGTTTTCTTGGTTACCTTGGTGACATATAAATCTCTCTTCTCAAATGATATGACATTCAATGTATGGCCTCTACATAGTTTGGTTTATAACCTGACTTAGATAATTCTGATTATAATTTATGAAAACCCTGATGGGTTTAATTTACAGATAAGTTATCCGGGGGAGGAGTGGGTTTTCCACTCCACCATCCATCAAATGGAGAATTGTGAGGATTGAGGGGAGTAGTACAGCAAGTGATTAATTCTAGGAATTGAGTGAGCTTCACTGACTCCATCCCAGGATTCAATTCTGGAGCTAGCCCAGTTCAATTTCTATTCAATTATGGGTCTAGTCCAAATTCTTTCTTGGGGAAAAACTTCCTTCAGTTGTGGGAATTGGGAGAAAGCCTTATTGTATTGTGTGAAAGTAGCCCTGCATGGCTGGGATGGGGACCACCTCTCCCTGCTACTTAGAGTTCCTAAAGTAAGGAACTAAGTTATGCCGACCAGAAACCTGGACATTGATGCAAGGAGTTTTCTCACCATTCTTCATCAGAAACAACCTATATGTCTAATCTGAAAATTGGCCCTGTACTGATCAATCAGTTACTGTTTCCATATTCCTTGGATTGTATGAAGACACTTGGGGCAAGTGGGACACCTCTTTTTCTGAATTCAGCAAATTGTACCTGTTGACTCTTTCTCTCTCAATTTGGAAAGTTCTTAATCACTCCTCCAATTAGAAATCAGATTAGCTAAAATTATATTTTTCCTTTTAGTTAATTGGCTTATTTTGGTTATTTTCTTTGTATAAAAATCTGTCTCCCCCTGTATTTGGGGGCTGCCCTAAAGTGAGAAAGGGCCCTGGTCCTGGTTTGTTGGCAATTGCCAGGCATTCCTTAAGACATCGATAAGCTTGGAAGACAGATCCTTTGTCTCCTCAGTCATTTCATCTTTTTATCCATAACATCTAGGGAGGAAGTTGGTGCAAGGATTGTTATCTCCTTTTTATAGAGGAGGAAACTGAGATTCAGAGGGGAGATATGACTTGTCCATGGGTCACATAGCTGGCAGTGCAGGGAGTGGGGGAGTGGGGTGGTGCCAGGACTGTGGAGATGAAGGGGCTGGAATCAGGCTCAGGATGTGAGGCGCTTGGGGTTGGTAGGGGGCTTGGGAGGAGAGGAGCTGTATCTCTTCTTCGCTGTTCACTGCTGGGAGCCCCCTGTGCCTGGGGATCATGGCTTTTGTTTCTCCAACCTCTGCAAGGCTTATGGAGTGCTTCTCTTACACTTGAGATAGATGATGGGAGAAGGAGTAGTTAGGAGAGCTGG